AAACTTGTTTGAGTCTGCATCAAAAATAAATATAAAATGGGCTGACTGATATGCAGTTACAGAAAACTGAGGATAGGAGAGTTTAAAAAGAAGCTCCCTCTCTTCTCGCCACCCTCAATCAGCAGCAGTTTGCTCTCCGTGTGCCAGCACACAGACCAAGCACGCTCTCACGAGAGATGTGGACAGCCCTGGAGAAGGCAGAAGCAGGAGTTCAGGAGATCAAGGGAAGGCCGGAGTGCAGAGTGATTTTAGGGCTTGGTATCTGTCAGAAGAGGGGAGTGGCTCTCCAGCATTACCCAACAACAAAATCCATGCGTGCTCTTCCGTAGTGCAAGCACAGGAGGGGAAGACACCAACCAGATCTACCAAAGGCAGCACAATGCACAATTTGGTGCCTAAGGGTGGAGAGGGAAGAGCACATCCTGGGTCTCAAAAGAGAAATATCTGCTAAACAGCTGGAAATTGCCCCTGAAGAATGGAGAAGCACTCCTCCGACAGCATGTTTACCACAAACTGGGAAGCCAGCAATAAAATATCATTAATCCCTTTAAGTGTTGCAGGAGACTTGCCATTAAAATCTCAAATCAAGTGCTAAATGGAGTGGCTTCCTACCTTAATGTTGACTAGTAACAGAATGTGTTACTAATTAAACTCTAGTGGTAAGTGAAATTCAGAGGAAAAAAGGCTTTTTGGAACTTCAAATAGACCTTTGTACATCATTCCTGTCATGAATTACTGCTGGAGTTAATGACTGTTTATGTTTCACGTGGAGGTGCCTCAGATAAAACTGGAGGTATCGCTCCACGCAGATTTTGGAGTCCAGCTGTACCTGGAGAGTGTAAGATAACCAAGTATCTACTTGGTCAAAGCAACAGATCACACTGCAGTAACAGCAGAGAGGACACCGAATATTCATTAAAAAGGTCTTGCTTATATTCTGGACTAGTTTATACTTAACTCACTGGACAGCAAAAGATGTCTAAATGTCTGACACCTTGGTCCCAGTTTCCCTGACAGTATCACTACGTTTCTATTGAGGTTGTAGAGGGTAGAACAAAGTCATTATGGAGTCAGACTCCAGATTTCAGTTCACATGACACAGAGAAAAGTTGATCCCAGCAGAAAGCATGCTCTTGGACTGCACAAATGAGTGCCTGGACCCACAGCAAATCCTGTGCATCAGGATCATCACTGAATAATTAAGATGCTGTCAACAGCAGTGGATGGAGAAAAATACAGTAGGGTGACTGGGAGTCAAGGATCATAAAGAAAGGCCATCCACTCAACAGCTCAGCATGAGTGTTTATTTTAACAGGCTTTTTAATGGGAAGCTTTGATTCTTTTTTGTCATACACTTGAGCTAAAACGGAAAATGACCTCATTTTAGGATATCATAACAGAGTAGACAGCTCTATTTCATTCAAAATTGAGGCCATCATCCTGACATCCCAGAGCAGGCTGTGATGTATTTTTATTTACTACTTTTTCAAAGTGCTGCATGCAGGAGGACATTTTCACCCCACCAGTAGCCAAGCTTCATAAAAAGACAACATCAAGGGACACTAAAAGATCACATCCAAGCACAAAGGTGATCTTTTATTTTACACTTTTAATGCAACATCCTTTCAGAAGACTGTACATACCAGAATCCCTAACATCTGCCTTAGTACTGTACAAGGCAGTCACTAAGAGAAAGAAGCTACTCTTAAAGATTCGTTTTTCCAAAATCTGAAAACTGAATATTCCAGTCCTATGAGTGGAAATGGAGGTAAAGGGGTGGGTCTGTTTGGTTTTAGATACTTAAAGCAAACACAGAGAAAGGGAAATATTGGATGACCTCAGATGCAGAAGACATTTCAAAAAACCCACCATTGTATTTCAAGTCATTAGAAATACATGAAGCATTTTATTTCCAAAGAAATACCAATACATTTGATCTGCCATTCATGCCATCCTGTCATTTTGAAAAAACATAGGTTAATGTGAAATACAAAATTAATTCAACCCAAGCATGCAACAATGAATGTATAAAAAAGCCTCGTCACTTACTGGCTGATTCCCTCAAACGAAGCTTCTTTGGAGACGTTTCCGCTATCAGTATTAACACCGCGCTGGGAGGGAACAGATTAAAAAGAACCATTATTCTGAGCCAAACACAAGTATTTAATACTTAAATAATGGGGAGAACCTGACTGCAGTAAGACTTGTACATAAGTAAACTTGAATCATTGTAAATACAAAACCCCAGCCTGCTTGTTCAAATGCAGACCTACGTAAGAAATTATCTTTTTCATAGGAGACCAGTGTAGCACTTGGGTTAAGATGTGCTCCTTAGGAAATGGCAAGCTTTGACTTCTAATTCCCTTATGTCCTGAGAGGGAGCTAGATCTATATAATAACAAAGGGCATGAAAATAACAAATGGATAAGATTCCTTCTAAAGTAATTTCATTTGAAAATAAATTATTACACACTGCCTTGGCAATGCTTACTATTTACACTTGCATGCCGCTCCCCTACAGCTTTCCATTCAAGCAAGCAGCACAAGCAAGAGTATTTTGGCTGCTACACAGCAGATGAACCCTTCTGACACGTGCCTGGGAAACCCTGTGGAGCAGCATTCAGTTCTGTGTCTGGAATGAAACCACAGGAGGAGAGGGCCAAGTTTCCATCCATCCAGCCAGCAAAAAGAGAAGTGCTCTTCCCTTTTCTGTGTACTACTTCATGGCAGTGGGAGAAATGTGACAGCATCACAGCCCCAGCCTCTCAGCCAAAAATTAGCTTAAAATTCCCAATTGCAACAGGATGCTCAGAGTGACAACCACTCAACAACTCAATGTGCAGAAATGCACAGTAAGAAGGACAAGATGGTAAAACATTCCCTTTTCCACTCATTTCTCCTAAAGAACATGAAGGAAAGCTATAGGGCGATCTTTTCTATGTGTGTGTGTACACAAATGTAAGTAGAAGACTGAAAACTATTTAGAGCCTCTGTTCTTAATTGATAAAGAAATCAGATCTCATGCTATGTGACTGCTTAGGGAGGGATTTTTTGCCAGACTTCTGTCTGGCAACTATCATAGGAAAACAAGAAATTCAGGAGCTGCCGCTGCATTTGCTGTAAGGGAAAGCTCAGAGCCAGCAAACCATTTCTTACATAGATTGGAGACAAGACTCAGATATTCTTAATAGTGAGAGGTTTACAAAACAACTGTCAAGGAAAAAAGCTGGGGGACAGGTGGAGGGGAAGAAGAAATTTGCATGCTTTACATTCATTCTTCTTCCAGAGACATAAGACCGTTCAAAATACTTGGCAGGCGTGTGATATCTCTCCCTCCTCCCAGAAGATTTTCTTACCAACCCACACAATGCAGAAAAATTATTTCCTGAATCCTTGTGAGATTCCCACAGAAAAGTCCAAACACGCTCATGTCATGACCAGAGCAGCAGAAGAGAAAAATGCAGTTTGGAGTCACTGCACATAGGCTGCAGGACAGCATGGTCCACGTTAGATAGGCTTGTCATGTCTTACCAGAAAACTGATAAAGCTTTTGGCAGAGAGAATACAGATTGAGGCCAGAGACTACAAATTTTGAGATCATGGAGGAGCCAGAAAACCAGATGACTATACACAGGTGGCTTCAAATTTGGCAAAGATGGAGAGGAAAAGATAGAGAAGGGCAGTGCAAAGAAATACTGAATAAACTGATCTCCTTAGTGAATAAAATGGGTAGTTATTCTTCAAAGTAATATGACTCACCAGAGTAAGAAGCACAGCAGGTTTCTTTGAAGCCAAGACACTGGCTATCTAAAAAGAAGTTTTAGATTGCCATTATTTTTCTTTTTTTCTTCTTCATAATCACATTGATACCAATTTCATAAACATTTGTTCTACACAAAATAAATGAGCTGCTAAGACAAAAAATTATCCTCTGATATCTTTCAGATATTGTAGCATTACCCAACACTTGCAACAAGAGTCAGTAGATGACAAAATATTTAGACAGAAACACAGTGCTTACGTTGGTGGTGTCCTTTAAAGACATCAATACCAGCTATAACTTAAGATTAAGTCTATTGTCACCACTTGAAAGACAGAGAAAATATGAGCCAAAAAGCCATAATGTCACACAGAAATACTGGTCCACATAAAGAGCTCTTTTTCCCATCAATGAAGTTTTTTAAGCAGTAAGGAAGTAGATAATAGAACTGCAATAATGGCAATTGTTGACAGAAAGTGACCCAAAACAACTAAGCTGACCCAAACCATTTGCCCTTGCAATTTTCACTGTCTGACAGATGAGCATTGGAGTGTCTGTGCTCCACACGACTCCAACTCACACACGTCAAAAAGCAACCTCTCCACAGCTTCCTCCACCCCCAGCCACTGAAACACAGGATCAAACTTCACTTCATAGCTGGACTCATTATGAAAATGAAATGAAACATCCTCACAGCTGATGAGAACAAAATTTTTGGTCTAGCGAGTCAGAATTAGCACTCTGCAGGGACAGAAGTATCAGAGTCTTCCTTTTCAAGCTGCTCTCCATGAAAATCATGCACAGAGCTTGGCAGGAATACGGCCCCCACCCTGCTGAGCCTGTCTACCAAAGAAAAGATAACTGGCCAGGTGCGTGAGTATACAAACATCTGCTCAGGAATGAAATGAGAAACCTAACTAAGCAAGTCACGCTTACATTTAAAATTTTATTTGCTTATTCTAATATTAGAATCATTCAGCAAAGTAAGAGTAAGGCAGGCAGCCTTTCCTCATAGCTCCTTGGAGGCATGAAATAATTGTAGGCTCTCAAGTCAGAGCTAGGACCTCCCTGACAGCAATCTCCTCAAATCTCCACGGCACTGCAAAAAAATGCATTTAGCAACATGTTTCTGTTGGGTAATGACACAGATTGACAGGTCTCATGATGCACATAACATGTTTATGAGACTGTCTTTGGATTAAGACCTTAGTGTTCAGCTCAAAATGGCAGCCTTTTAAAAATATATGTAAAAATTACAAGTGCTTTATAAGAATGAAGGATGCTTTCTTCTGGGGGGGAAATGGTCCCACCAAGTCAGGAGACATTCAAGTAAGCAGAGGACTAAAATTAAGCAAAATCATTGCCACATATTGATTTTGTATTCACAGAAAAATATTAAGATACACAAACATCTCACCTCATCCATGTAGTGGACTTCATCCACAGCATATTTTTTCTTGAAGAATTCAGGGGGATGAATCCTTTGGAAAACAACAGAAAGAAACATCTGGTTTTAGCTTTACTGTTATATTTAATAAGGCCACAGAGCAAGAAATCATGTTCTCTGCTATCATAACAATAGAATCAGAGATAAGGAACGTCTTCATAATCTTATCCTTGACTCCATTTCTCAAAATAGGAGATTCACAGAATCACAGAACGTTAGGGATTGGAAGGGACCTCAAAAGATCATCCAGTCCAATCCCCCTGCCGGAGCAGGAACACCTAGATGAGGTTACACAGGAAGGCGTCCAGGCGGGTTTTGAATGTCTCCAGAGAAGGAGACTCCATAACCTCTCTGGGCAGCCTGGGCCAGTGCTCTGTCACCCTCACTGAGAAGAAGTTTCTTCTCAAATTTAAGTGGAACCTCCTGTGTTCCAGCTTGTGCCCGTTACCCCTTGTCTTATCATTGTTTGTCACCGAGAAGAGCCTGGCTCCACCCTCGTGACACTCGTCCTTTATATATTTATAAACATTAATAAGGTC